CCCCCCTCTGCCCGACCGAAACCCCGCCCCTCCGCTAATAGTTTAGCCCCGCCTCTCCTCACGACGGGCGCCCTCCGAGCCCCGCCCTTCGCGACGGCAGTATTCCCCGGTTAATCGGTTGCCTCTAAGCCCCGCCCACTCTGTCCATCTAAATTATTCCCCGCCCCAGCAGGAACCTAATTTTTCTAAGAGCTAAGAGCCATATGGGGCCGGGAGAAGGGGAGGGGAGAAGCCGGCGGGGTGGCGCGGAGGGAGAACGGCTACCCAGCCTCCACCCTTCCACTCGCGGTCGTCTCGCCCAAAGTGCATACTCCGCCACTAGAGGGGTCCAATTGTACTCTACCCTCGTGGGGATTAGTGCGCGTGTGCAGCCGCTTACAACGCGCCCTTCATACACAAATACCAGGTTCTAGTGGGCTAATGCGCATGAGCAACAGCAGACGCAAAACTGAAACAGAAAAACTCGCTGGAGGCTAGTGCGCAGGCGCAGTCGCACGTGGGTCGATTCCACTGAACACGCGCTCCATAAGCACTGTCCTCCTCCCGCCCCCGACCAAGTGCGCATGCTCCGCCGCGCGCCTTCGTCTCTCTGCTTCCGTCTGCGCCTGCGCGACCGTGATTCTCCTGCTTACGTCTCCCTACCCTTAGGCTCTGTAGTGAGGGCCGCGAGCTGCGAAAGGGCGGGAAAGGCGGTTGGGAAGGAGGGGCGAACGGTTACTCACTCCATGGCTGCGGAAAGGAGAGGCGGCGGCGGCCTCGGCTGAAGAAAGAAGGTGGAAGCGGAGAGCGCAGGCGCGGTGAGCGCGGAGACGGGCGGGGGGCACAAAGGGGTCGCGGCTACAAAGCCATGGCCGGGTTTGTGCGGGCGGTGGCGGCGTCAGGGCAGCATGAGAAGAGGTCGTGATCTGAGGGTGGGGAATGTGGCGGCCCCGGGTACTGGGAACAGATATACCAGGGGAGGCGCAGCACGGCCCGCCCGGATCCTTCCGCGCTCCGCCCTCGTGCGGCCCCAACGGGGAGGCGGCCGGGCCTCGCCTCGCCTCCCAGGGATCTGGGGATCCGACTCCCCACCACCCCTGGGTTCAGCCCCCTCCCGCTCAGACAGATCTTCCTCCCGCACACCCCCGCTTCCGACCCTTGCGTTCTGTCTCTCAGGGATGGTCCTTCTGACCCAGGGATCCGGCCTTCTCTCTGGTTTCCGGAGTCCGACTGCCTGTATCTGACCTTCAGACCCATCTCCTCCTCTTTTGGGGGGCTGACTCCATCCACTTCCTCAAACCCGGATTAGCTTATTTCTCTTTTCCCTGCTTCCTGAGTTTCTCGACAGCCACACTTTCGTCTCTTCCCCCCTGTTCGCCAAGCCCCCACACCCCAGGACTCTCGTGGGTTAGAGTTTAGCGTGAGCCACAGGCCGTGCTCCATTCAAGGCGCAGACCTGCCTGGATGGCCCTGGGCCAGTAACTTCAGTGCTCCGGCCCCTTTCCTATGGAATGAGAAAAATCCACTCTACCTAGTGCGGTTGTTTGTTCCTAGTCTTCCCCACACACTTGCAAGAGCCCTGAGACCTGACCGTCCAGCACGTGCTCATAGGTCATGCTGTGTCTCCCCCTTTCCAGATGAGATGCTCAACCCAGTCCTCCCATAGGGATTTGGGCGCTGTCACCCCACTTACCAGCTGTGTAAACCTGGCAGTTTCTCAGTTTTCTCTATGGTTTAATATTCCTACTTTTAGGGCCCTTTTAGGATTAAATGAGTTAACCTGTCAAGTACTTAGACTAGTACCTGGCATATAGTAGATGCTAGGTGAGGGTTTTGTTATCATGGAGGTGGATTTGTTCTTTCTTCATTGCTATGCAGTAAGTGCTTTAAAACTGTAACTGGGCCTCCATCTTTTTTTTTTTTTTTTTTTTTTAATATATATTTTAACTTTCTATTTAATTTTGACCAAAGAGGGACAGGGTAAGAGAAAGAGAGAAAGCAAGCCACCAGGGCAGTGTCAGCCACGTGGGAGTCCACCTGGCCATTTGGCAACTGGGCTGCCGGGTTTTAAGGGAGATTTAAGGACTGACTTCCTTCCATTCTTCAGTGTAGAGTGTATTGAGACTTAGCATGTGGGTTGGGGTAGACAGACTGCTGGCAGTGAGGAGACTGTTTTGCCATGAAGGCTTCTGAGAAGACCTAGATTATATACAGAAACTAAATAAGAGTATTTTGTGGGTTCTAGTTTTTGCTTTTATGAGAAAGTGATATATTTGACAGTGTTTCAGCACATTGCATTGCTTCCTGTCCCAGCTTCTCAGTTGTTGGCCTCTCAGTTAGCTAGGACCACAAGCAGGCACCCCCAGGCCCAGTCTGTTTAGTTTGGGTTAGGAATCAAACTCCAGCCTCCCATGCAACCTCACTATCAGTGACACCATCACATTTCCAACACCATGTCTAGGCCAGAGGGGCTTTGTGTGTGTGTGTGTGTGTGTGTTTTTTTTTTTTTTTTTCTTTTTGCTATAGGGCGCATGCGCTCGCCAGACAGACAGAGACAGAAAGTGAGAAATCACCCCCAGAGAGGATGGCCACGCCGCAATCCCTTCTCCTCCATTCTCCTCTTGGGATCTTAGGCATGCACGCACACGTACCCGGCGTGAGTTTAAGCCACCGGGTCCGGGACTTGAACTGCGGTTGACTACATGGGAGTCCAGCAACATAGTCATTATGATAACGGCTGGTCCCGGGGCTTTTTGTTTTTGTAATTGCCCAGAGGACAAGCTCCCAGAGAGAGACACTACACCACCCCCACCCCTGGTGGAGCATGGTCATGCTGCCATCTCTTTTCCATTTCTTTTTTTTTTTTTTTTTTTTGGAGAGATTTTCGCTATAGGGCACGTGCGCTCGCCAGACAGACAGAGAGAGACATTAGAGACAGAAAGCGAGAAATCACCCCCCAGGGGGGATGGTCACACCGCAATCCCTTCTCCTCCATTCTCCTCTCGGGATCTTGGGCACACATGCACACGCGCCCGGTGTGAGTTTTTAAGCCACCGGGTCCGGGATGTGAACTGCGGTCGACTACGTGGGAGTCCAGCGACATAGCCATTACGCTAACTGCTGGTCCCACTTCCATTTCTTCATCCTGTCTGGATTTTGGCCACATGCACACACACCTGGAGTATCTTTCACACAGGCGGAATCAGGACTCAGACTGTGTTGGTCACTTAACCACTAGGCTATAGGGCGCATGTGCCAGAGAGACAGAAAGCGAGAAATCACTCCCCAGGGTGGGTGGCCCGTCTGCAGTCCCTTCTCCATTCTCCTCTCGGGATCTTGGGCATGCACGCACACGTGCCCAGTGTGAGTTCAAGTCATTGGGTCTGGAACTTGAACCGTGGTAGATTACATGGGAGTCCAGTGACATAGCCGTTATACCATCTGCTGTTCCCCCTTGATTTGTTCTTTAAGTTTATTTCCTTCAGGAGAAAGAGTGAGGGGGCCGGCAGGTGGCATGGTGGGTTAGGCGCTTGTACCCCCATTGGTAGACTGTGGTTCAAGTCCTGGACCTGGTGGCTTGCTCGCGCTCGCGCTCTCTCTCTCTCTCTCTCTCTCTCTCTGTCCCTCTCTAGTCATACTAAAAATAAATAAAGTTAAATAAAGTAATTATTTAAAAAGAGAGAGAGAATGAGAGAGGTACCCTCCAACTGGGTCCTCACTCACAATTCAACCTCAGCCATCCTGGATTACAGGGATCCCTCCCACCATGTAGGGGGAGGACCTGAGACACGAACCCCAGACTTTTTCTTTTTTTAAAACATTTATTTAAGTTTATTTATTTTTATTATTCTTCAATTTGACCAGAGGGAGGGGGATGGTGAGAAAGCAAACCGCCAGGTCCAGGACCAAAACTATAGTGGGCCATGTGGGAGTCTGGCGCCTTAACCAACAAACCGCTTGCTGGCCCCACCCCAGGCCTTTTCATATAGGTCCAACATCAGTGTGTTGTGTTACCACTGAACTGCTCTCTAGCCCCAGAGAGGTGGTTGGTTGGGTGGTTTTGAGAGGTTTTTGCTATAGGGCATGTGCGTTCACTGGATAGCAGAGACAGAAAGTCAAAAATCACCCCCCAGGGGGAATGGTCACACTGCAGTCCCATCTCCATTCTCTCGGGATTTGGGCACACACACCCAGGATGAGTTTCGAGCCGCAGAGTCTGGGACTTGAACTGTGGTCGGCCACATGGAAGCACCTCAACCAGTAATCCAGAGTGTGTTTTAAATAAACTTTAACTCTGGAGATAATTTTAGATTTACAGAAAAGTTGCAATAGTAGTTTTGGATACCCCTCACCCCGTTTTCTCCATTGTTAACATCTTACATTCCTGCAGTACCTTTGTTGTAACACGGAGCCGGTGTCAGTATGTTACTGATGACCACGCTCCTTACCGCCCTGTTCTGACTGCACGCGTTCCCTGGGCTCCTTTATCTGTTCCAGGACACCTTCCAGGATGCCCCACTCCATTTAGGCGCTGTGTCTCTTCTGTCTCCTCTGGTCTGTGGCAGTTTCCCAGAGTTTCTTTGTCTTTTGTGACCTTGACAGTTTTAAAAGATGCTATTTGGGTATTTTTTTGGAATGTGCCTTGTCTTCGAAACTTAGACTGGGGTTATGAGAAGATGACTGGGTGGGGACCAGCAGATGGTGTAGTGGTTACGTCGCTGGCCTCACACATGGCTGACCCCAGTTCGAGTCCTTGACCTGGAGACTTGAAACTCACTCTGAGTGCTTGTGCGTGAGTGCCCAGAATCCTGAGATGAGAATGCAGGAGAAGGAATTGCAGTGTGGCCATCCCCGGGGTGGGTGGGGTGATTTTTGTGCTTTCTGTTTCTCCTTCTATCTGGTTAGCACACATGTACTATAGCAAAAATCTCTCTAAAAATAAATTTTAAAAGAAAATGAGAGAGGGGAACCAGCAGTTAGCATAATGGGTATGTCGCAGGACTCCCACATAGTCGACCGCGGTTCACATCCCGGACCCGGTGACTTAAAACTCATGCCAGGCACGTGTGCGTGCGTGTCCAAGATCCCGAGAGGAGAATGGAGGAGAAGGGATTGCGGCGTGACCATCCCCCCTGGGGGGTGATTTCTCGCTTTCTGTCTCTCTGTCTCCCTCTGTCTGTCTGGCGAGAGCGCACGGGCCCTATAGCAAAAAAAAAAAAAAAAAAAAAAAAGAAAGAAAGAAAATGAGAGGATGTCTGGATATGTTTGTTTTCTTTTTTAAAAAAAAATATGGAACACTTCACGAATATCCGTGTCATCCTTGTGCAGGGGCCATACTAATCTGTGTGTATATGTGTTGCCAAAGCGAGCACTGGATGTGTGTGTTTGTTTGTTTGGTTGGTTTTTTTTTTTTTCTTGAGAGGTTTTTGCTATAGGGTGCGTGCGCTCACCAGACAGAGAGAGACAGAGAGACAGAAAGCAAGAAATCATCCCCCAAGGGGGATGGCCACGCTGCAGTCCTTTCTCCATTCTCCTCTCGGGATCTTAGGCACGCACGCACGCACCCGGCGTGAGTTTAAGCCACCGGGTCCGGAACTTGAACCGCGGTCGACTACGTGGGAGTCCAGCGACATAGCCATTACACCAACTGCTGGTCTCTGGATATATTTTTTTAATGATTGGAAATGAACCCGCTCTGGAGGAAAAGCCTGTTGCTGGCTTGCTGTGTGTGGTCTGTGCCAACTGCGAAGGCGTCAGGACAAGGATTAGTCCCTCTAGCCATTGTGTCCCACACAGCTCATCCTGCCCACCTAGGCAGCTTGATTCTGTTGTGCTGAGTGACGTTCTTCTCACCTTTAGATCCACAGCCCTCCCAGC